AAAATCAGCTGCCATAATACTGAAAATGTGGTCGACATATTTTCTTAAAAAACTACCATAGGAAAATCTAATGACTGAATATACAAGTTACGCAAGTAAGGACATCATCATGCTTAGTAACTGTGATGTTATTTATTACTAACAGGTTACATTACTGTGTCACAGACAAATGTAATCTGATTACAATAAAGCATTACTTTGTAGCACGTTACCCCCAACACTGCACCATACACCCCATCATGTATCAGATGGCTTTACTGCGCAGTGTGTCTGCACTCTTAGAGGAATATTTTGTTCTCAAGGTCAGCCATGTTAAACACAAGGGAGATAAAAAGTGTCGACTCATCAGTGTGGAGCAGCGGGAACACAAAGCCCCTGATGTAGGCCGTTGGCTTTTTGTAAACAGATGTTTTGATTAAAATTCATGAATAAAAAACAACAAACAAAGCAACAAGGAGCTTTGAACAGCCCAGCAGCAAAGCCCCCTCTCCCCCACCTCCAGTATCCTAAGCCCCACCAAATACAATAGACCTGATCCAGAGGCATTTTGTTATCTTTGTGCTGTGTGGTTGGACAACATCGCTCGCAGCAATGTTATTATGTATTTATGTGTGTTTGTGGGTATCAGTTTTTCTTATTCAAAAGAAGACCTTAAAGGTGGGGTAGGGTTTCAGAAACCGGCTCGAGATACACTTTTTGTTATATTCCATGGCATGCTCTTAACATCCCGATAGCAATGGATATCTGAAGTGCTTTGACAAAAAATCCATAAAAAATGTCATCTGTGGAAGCCGTGGTACTGTAAAAAGTACATCCAATCCGTTTAGCCGGCCCGGATAAACGGATTGGATTGCCGCCCTGTCTGTCAGCCTTCCATCTCGTGCACGCACAAATGTATCTCGTGCCCTCATTGGGCGTGCCGTCATTGGGCGTGCATTGCAGCAGTACTTCAATGACTCGCCAGCAACAGGCGGCCACTTTCACCAGTCTGCTGACGTCATGTGCGCGTTCATGTGTGTTGGAGGAGGTGCTCTGTAAGGAAGGGGCGGATTCTTTTCGGCTGTGTACTTTCAAATTTGAGTGCACTCGAGCCGGTTTCTGAAACGTACCTACCCCATAGGGTTGCCAACTTCCAGAAATGGAAAAACGGGACACATGCATGTGTCCCGTTCGCGCAAGATTTTCGGGTTTCTGGCGGATTTAGTTACGTTTTTTTGTTACTTTATTTCGGTTTTAGGGTTAGGTTAGGGTTATGTTATTTAATTATTTTGGGGGGAGCCAGCCCCTAGGGTTCGAAAATGTTTTTGGGGGTCAAACCCCCCAAAAACAGACACAAGTATTTTCTTTTTAGAAGGGCCAGGGCCCAGAACCACATCCTCTCTCTCTTCTCCTCTTTCATTATCACCTCCACCGGCAGCGCTCATTTTCCCGCACAACTGAACAGGCTGACATGCCACACACAAACAATGATGCCGCGCCCGCGAAAATCTCACACACACACACGTGCGAGCATTGTGCCTGCCCTGTCAACTGAGCGGTCCTAGCGCCCTTCGCATACAGCACACAAACACACAGGCACGCAGCCAGACACACTGCATTGCGCGCAAACAGAAACATATGTTTTATTTTTCCCTTTACCGGGAATCCGGGACAAACAATGTCCCGTACGGGACACACCCCTTTTGGCTCAAATACGGGACGTCCCGGCTAATACGGGACGTCCCGGCTAATACGGGACGGTTGGCAATCCTACTACCCCACCTTTAACCTAAAGTATTCTTTAATGTTTAAATAAAGCCTTATTAGTTTGTCTGTCTGTGTCTCCTATTAATATATAATAATAAAAATAATACATTTCAATAACGTGCTTTAACCACCAGGTGTCCCTTTCTATCAGCTTTGCACCGTTATGGTGTAAATATACCAACATACCGATTGGATCAAATATAAAAGTCAGCCGAATTAGTATTGATACTGCAAGGAGACTTATATTGTGAAGAGAAATTGAAGATTTTGCTTAATTGATATATTTATGATCCACGTCACATATTCAGTTTCGGCAGCAGTTCCTCATGTTTGTCTAGAAGTCTTCTCAGCAGGGCTCTATAAATAAAGAACTACGGCAGATATGTAATATTTAATGCAGCCGAACCGTGTATTACAATGCCGTTATGTGATGGCTTTCAAAGAGAAAAGCAAGCAAACTCGGAATAAAGTATTATTTTATTTAAAGGAGACCTATCATGCTATATTTAAATGATATAGTGTATGACCATACCTATATAAGGTATATTTATACATTTTATTTTTCAAAATACCAAACGTTTCGCTCATTTTTGCTCTATTCCAAGCCTGTCTTTGAAAATTCTGAGCAGCAGCTGACCACGCCCCCCTGCAGAAAAGCAGGGCATGAGCCGGTGAGAGTCACGTTACCATGCTTGCTGTGATTACGAGTGTGGAATAAACATGTCATCTCAGAGCAATGCATGTGTTCAAGCGTATTATCAATTTGATCCAGAGACTGACCCTGAAGCAGCGGAGGTTTTGGTGGAGGTGCAAAGATCTCAGTTGCAGCAGGACGTTTCTGAATGGTTAGTTGACAAGCTGTTGTCCCTATTTATTTTACTCTGTTACGATGATTGCTACTTATTCCGTTCATATTTTGGCTAATTAGCAAGAATACTATGTGTACAGTTTATAATTTAGAGCTTGTAACGCAAAAACAGCGATACATATATATATTTATAAAGGGAGACATTCATATTTTCAGCATATATACAATGACCTCATTGCGTTTATTAATAGTTTACAGCACTTTTCTTCCAACATCGTACGAACAGTACGGTACTTGGGTGGGTCAGTCTGACATGCAGAATCTATCATCACAGGTAATCTGCTGGTAGCATGTGAGGTGCTGGCCTGTAAAGAAGAAAACATAATCATCTCAATTTAGTATTCAGGATGAGAAAATACTATTTGGATAAATATCGTCTGAAATCCCAAAAGATGGGGGCTAAAACTCTCTATTTAGCAAAGCTCTTTGCTTAGCCTTTTTCAATCTGAGTTAGTTTTGAACCGTAACGTGCATGCTGTGTTTCTGACTCAATACAGATGATGTGTTGGAGAGGGGCTGAGCTCAGTAGACTGAGTGCTAGCCACTAATAGGCTACATGCACTAGGGTCTGAGACGTACTTCCGCCTTAGCCGTTATACTGCTCGGACGCTTCCGGGTTGCTTCTGGTCTGCGTAGCTGAGCGTCCACAAATGTTTTACTGTTTAAATCTGTGGTTTAAATATGAGTCGACGGAAGATTTTCAAAACGGAGCATTTGCAAAGACAAGTAAATAACTACTCCGAGCACTGCTGTGTCCCACTTTGTACGGCGTCAGCTAAATTCAACGGCGTCCTAAGTTTCCATGGCTTTCCGACCGAACTCGAGCTGCGAAGACAGTGGCTAGTTAAAATACGACGCGATAACTTTACAATCTCCTCTCACTCCAAGGTCTGCAGTCGTCACTTCGCTACGGATCAACTAATAGAGCCAAAAACCCTTGATGGACGTAGGAGGCTTGTGAAAGGTGCTGTCCCAACTCTGTTTGAGTGGAATCACTTCACTGCTCAAACACCGCGGGCTAGTGTTTGGGAGAGAAGGGAGCGGCCCACTGAACCAGTCTCTCGGGAGGAGCAGGAAGAGCACATCGATGTCCGTGACCATGATTACTGCTCAACCCCTGAACCAGCTTCACTGGACATGTCCTCTCAAGCTACAGAAGACAACTCCAAAAAAGTGGAGGATCTGCAGAAGCAACTGCAGGAGTTAAGAGTCCAGCGAGAGTTTTGCTTACAGCGGTTTGCTGGCTCCGACGACAACATCCGATTCTATACCAGGTAATGTTTTGGCTAAATTCTATCCAAGTTTTTGAGATGGGTTAGCTTATAAAGAATCCTGTTTACCTGCCGTTTGACTGCTGACTATTTGCATGCAGTGTTGGAATAAGTAGGCTACTCAACTTAACTGAAGTATAAGTACAAATACTATGGTTTGAAAATACTCCTGAACTGAACATGTAGAATCATAAATCATGTGTTTTCATAAGTAACTAGAAACTATGAAGGTTAACTAAATGTGGTGGGGTAAAACATACTAATACTAACAACATACTGATAATACTTTACTACAAGTGGAAATCTTCAAAACCTTACCAAAGTAAAAGTACATGTCAATATCCACTGCGTTTCCCCCAGTTGCACACTTAAGAATGAAGAGTAAAAGTAGTCATTCTGTGTAAAATGTTCCCTGTATGTTTTAGATTATTATTACTGCTGCTTTAATGTAGTTGTTACATGTTACTGCTGTATATTACTATACCTGCACCAAGTGCCTTCTTAATCAGTCTATTTGAATTATAATGTATTATAGCAAACAAGAGGAAAGCATTAGCCCATGTGTTACAGTTAACGAGTCAATTAATGACTGACGTGTGTCTTTTGTGTACAGATTCCCGAGCTATAACCACCTGATGGCCTTCTGGTTTTTGATTGAGCCTTCCATTTATAAAATGGTTCGTGTTACAAGAGCGATATCAGCTGCCAAGAGGAATGAATAAGTGGTTACACACGCACGTCCATCAACGGTAGGCTACGTTTCTTTTAACACACAATCTAAACACAAACTGAAGGGAAAATGTTTCTCCAACATTTCATTGCTTTCGTGTAGGCTAAAAGGCTATAGTACTCAATCCTTTTTGAATACATCAGAACTAAAACAACTTAATGTTTTTCCCATGGTGTGCTACACTCATGACATTAATATAGTACCCTTTTTTTTGTTTATCTTCCAGAGACAGCTGCTTCAGCCAATTGACGAGTTCTTCCTTTTTCTCTGCTTCCTGTCGGTGGGTTTGAAAGAGAGGGACCTTGCAAACCGCTTCAACGTACACCAGTCCACTGTGAGCCGCATCATTGCAACATGGACGAGTTTTCTTACAACTTTATTGGGGTCACAGTGCATCTGGCTTACACCTGCAGAAGTTCAAGCCCACCTCCCAGAGGCATTCAAAGATTTCCCAGACACACAGGTGATCCTGGATTGCACAGAGCTGAGGTGTCAAACACCATCCTCACTCCTCCTCCAAAGTGAAATGTATTCTACATACAAATCTCACTGCACCATGAAAGCCCTGGTTGGCATAGCCCCACATGGCGCAGTGACATTTGTTTCCAGTCTGTATGGTGGTTCTGTCAGCGACAAGGAGATTTTCAAACAATCTGGAATAGCTGCGTTGTTGACTGAAAACATGGCAGTGATGGTAGATAAGGGCTTCCTGATCAGCGATTGCTGCAAATGCAAGGTGTACTGCCCACCTTTTCTGTCAAAGCAGAAGCAAATGCCAGCCTATCAGGTGAGGGAGACACAGGCCATTGCCAGACTGAGGGTTCATGTGGAGCGTGTCATTAGGAGGATAAAAGAGACAAACTTTTTGATGGTGTCATCCTCCTGTCCCATGCCTACAACATCAACCAACTGTTTGCAGTAGCATGTATGCTGTCAAACTATCAGAACAAAGCACTGGTCAAGAAATGGGGTGAAATAAGACAAGATGATGACACCTGTGCAGGTAGCTGTGATTAAGCTGGGTGAGCACACCGTAATCCCGTGTTGCCTGACACACGCTAGTGTTTTGTTTGAATAAATGGTAAATAGCAAATTACAATGCGTTGATGATTTCTTACAAATGCAATGATTACTATTCATTACACAAATCACTTCACTTTATTGTCTTTTTAAATACAATTGTATATTTATTTACATATATGAAATGTGACAAACAATATATATCAAAAACAAAATATTGAAATCACATTTTGTTGTCATTCAGAACACATGATTGAGGGATTGCCTCCTAAAAACAATGACGGCTGAGCCAGGGTCTAGCAGCTAACTGCTTACAGAGTTAACAATGGCTACAGTGCCCACTACTTTTTTAATGACAAGTACTTCGGCATGTATGTGTAAACAAAAAAAAAGTCTACTTTTTCTCTGATTGCTCTTTGCACTTCTGGATCTGTATATATTCTTTGCACCAGGTAGTCCTCTTGTGCCCACACTACAAAATCACACCACTGCATCCCAGATACAAGAAGTTGACCCTGTACTTGCCAGTAATAGGCATGGCTTTTCTTGAGCTTAGGGGAGCCACATTCCATCTGCACATATTTGCAGTCGACATAATTTGGGACATTGGGACATTTGAATTCAACAAGGCCAAATTGGGGATATTCTGTTGGGTCAAAAACAACTCCATCAGGGGAGGCACCAAGCCAGGGCGTAGAGGGGTGAATGACAAGGCCACAAGGGGAGTAGTTCACGTTTGCCAGTCTACTGTATTCAGCTGCTACTGTGGGCTCCATCTCGGCACCTCTCCTCATTTCTGCAGTCTGCCTTGTACCTTTGAGTATTCGCTCTGCAAGAGAGTTAGCAGAGCTCTCACCTCTGACGTGACAAATCTCTCTAAACCTAGAGGCAGTAACCCTGGGTTTGCGGAGCAGATGCCACTCTGAGCTAGAGCTTTGCTCACGGGTAGCCTCCTCAATTTTGTGAGACATTTCCAAATCAACAGATAAGCTGTTCATATGTAGTTGCTCCTCTTCTGAGCACACCAGCGGTAAATCACATGGCAAGATCACATACCCCTCTATGGGCAAGTGGGGTGTTGGTGGTGTGTCAGTGTGAAGTGTGGTGTACCGAGACGTCAAAGCAGGCATCTGATAGGACAGAACACTGCCCTCCTGCACAATCCCGAAGGCACTTTCCACAAGGGGCTTGTCAGGTCTCATGTTCATTGTGGTCACAAGCGGCCTGTCTTCAATGCTGAATGCTGAGTATGCCTCCGTAACTCTGAACAGGCAGGGATCTGGTAATGGCCCCACCATGCCTCTGTAGAATCCACTCCTACAAAGAATGGCAAAGACAATATAGCACATTAATGTGACAATAAAGGTTAGGAATACAGCACCAGAATTATGAATTTTAAAAACACAGGAAACACAATTTTCCAGCTGAAATTACCTTACTCCAGTCTGCACCATCCTATTTGGTACAGGCTTGGTGAAGACCATGGAGTTGATGGGCCCTGGCTTCACACCCTTAAGGAAAAGACAATTACTGTTCGTTGAGTCACTTTAAAACAAAAACTCTGTGAAAGATTACAAGTATTTGAACCTCATTGAAATTACCATTGTTCGCGGCTTGTGCCATTGCTGTTCCGATTCAGTACAGCTATGCACAGGTGGCACAACTGGCATGTTCAGTTCAGTGTAGTGTGCTGTTTGGAACAGTAATGCTACTGTGTGATTGCACAAAACAGTTCCTGCAACACAGGAGCACTGGTTGTGCGTGAGCACCACTGGTGATGAATCACGAAGCGTTATCTAAAAAAGAGAGAAGAAATACTAGTGATTAGTAACCTCACTTGTTACTATGAGCCAGGAGGTTATTATGAGTAGAATTATTGGTTATTTTTACTGACCCATTATCCTAGAAGAAGCATGTATTCCTGAATGCTTAGTGTTACCCTCTTACCCTACAATACCACAATGAACTTTCTTTGGAAACTAAGATGCCTTGAAAATTATATTAAAGCAGTTTTGACTATATATTTGAACCCCCAAACTTACACATCCATAATCAATGTAATAATATCTGACCAATCAGCTGTGATAAAGCAGGGAGAAGTAGGACACTGTTGAGATTCCCTTAAGGTAAACTAATGTTTAACTGAACTGAAACTCAATAAACAGGGGGGAACAGTGTCAATGCTGCCTGCCTACACTCAAACTGTGTGCTGTCTCGCTCTTCCGCATTGACCTGTAGCACAAGGCTCTCACGCTGACCTGCCCTGTCAGCCTGTCTTTATTGGACACTGAATGAAGAAAAACAGAGCAACAGCATTAGATCTATACTCACGTCAAAACATCTATGGCAACATTGCTTTACAAAAGCTGATACCATTATGCAGTGTGGCTAACAACAAGACAACCTTGGCTAGGCTATAAGGCTATTAAACGATAGTATTTGTTAGCAAAATGGCTAATGTTTTAAAGAATTAACACCAGAAACAGTACATAGCGTTACCCAGAGCCCTATAGTAGTCTACTATAGTAGTAGTATAATAATAATAATAATAATAGTAGTAGTTATACTATAGGGCTCTGGCGTTACCTAGCTTTTGACAGCTAATGTTAGCGTAACCCGGAGCATAAGCTAGCTGGTTAGTACCGGTTACCTTCTTACCTTCATAGTTGTGTATATATGACGCAGCATATCATTTGATGCCTTTATCGAGTTTGCTGGCTGGGGCTTTAGTCGTCCGGCAAATCCGATGAACATCTGACATTTTTAATTTCGGAAGCTCTTGTAGGCAGCGGGTGTAGAAGGTCGTCATTTTCAAACAGGAAATGAATCGGCCGCTATGAGTAGAATGCGGAAGTGACTGTGCATGTTGCTAGAGGTAAGGCCTCGTCAACAACAACAGACCAACGGGGCTTTAGCTCCGTTTTAACTCGTGGTGTGTGTGTCCCCTCGCATACATACACACAGTGTTGTATCCTAACACACCCCCATTTATATTCATGTGCACAAACAAGTATACATACAAAAGCTTTTACATATAACGCTGCAAAAAACGGCATGTCTCATTAGCGTAGCTTAGCTTACAGATCGATGATATCTGATCGTTCTTAGAGACTACAATCACAAAAGCCTTTACATATAACGCGGCACTTACCTACAGAAGATTACGTTTGTTATTATAACTTACTCAATATGATTTTAGAGGATACAAAATACTAATAAATAGGAGAATAAATACTTGTGTTATCGGCTAGGGCGTGGCTTTACAGCCTTCACACAGATCGCCATTACGGCAGTAGGCCTATGTCTGAACATGTTAGCAAATGCCTGATAATTAAAATAAAAGACGAAGCAAACAAAGCGTACAAAATAAAATGTTACAAAAACATATAAACACCTAACCGATTACTATTTGGGTTTGAGGCGACATTGATACGGCGAAGCTACATGCTACATACTACAAGCTAGAGATAGCTTTATCAGGAAAAACACCGCTAAATAAAAACTTACAGCTTCAAAATTGGATGTGTCCTCACTGGCCTGGTCCCGGATGGTTGGTATTGATCCCGGGTTTAGCATTAATTTGGAGGCATATCCGTGTTGGACTTGAGAGAAGTTCATAAACATGTCCGTCGTAAAATGTTTGGAACACACAAACAGATATCTGCCGTGGTCTTCTGGCTCATGTCCCTTGAAAATGAAGTCTAGCCACAGATTATTTTCTTTTTCCACTGATGGCATTGCATGCATTCCCCTGTCCCGAGTCTTGCAGCCAACAACAGCACAATGTTTAACTCGCTTAGACATCCTGGCAAGAGCAGGCAAAAACACAGATGTGACTGGGGTTGATTTAGCCTGCCGATAGCCTATATGCGAATGAGAGGTTTGGCAATGCACGTGGCCGTGGCTCATTCCCCTGATAGGTGGATAGTTGACCAATAAGCGGAGCACGTCTTTGTGACGTAGAAAAGTGTTGAAATCTGGATCCATTTTTTTCAGATCCATTACAGCCCCTTTTTTAGAGATTTGGCTAAGGAGGAAAATAGAGAGGGTTGTGTTTTCTGACACTTGGTGAGTTCCCTGGAACACTGGGGACACATATTCATGTATAAAAGACGTACAAAGGTGCATTTTGCATGATAGGTCCCCTTTTAAAAAAAAATGTGTTTTCGAATTTCACATCAGCAGGAAGTCCGGTTAACTAAAATGTCCGTGCGGAACAATACCCCAACCCATAGATCCGTGGGTGAATAATGTCAATCACCACATTACACACATCCCTTCACATTTAAATTGTAATTTACATTAAAGTATTTCGTGAGGCCTTCTAAAATGTTTTTAAATATAATTAGGGTTGTAGTTTGTAAATTATTGCGTTGCCTGGCTGGCAACGCAATCGCACAACGGCATGTCCGTTAATTCCACAACCACACACATGGATTAACATCGATTTAATACATTAATGTAGCCTTTGTTTCTGCTAAAAGAGGTGTCGACCAGCTGGGGCAACAAGAAAATCGGCGAAATCGAGTGTGACTATTAAAAAATAAATAATTATTATATTAATATTGACAATAACAACCGACCGTCGGGGAGCGTTCTCATGGCGTCTATTAGCCTATCAACGCCATGGGAGGTCTATGAAGGTCTATGGACGCCCTGCCCGTTGAAAACTGACTCTCAAGGGGTACCCTGTCCGTAATAGGGGAGGGGCCCTGACCGACCGTCAACATGTGACGGGTTGGGAGTGAGAACGTGTTGGATATTTCAATGTTTGACATACCTTCCCTGGTAAATGACTAAATCCAGTTTGAATGTGTCTGACAATGATGGGAGTAGATGGGTAAAGTTGTCACAATAAAACACATGCTAAAAATAAATCAGTACAGTAGATCTTCAACAGACTGGCTGTTAAACTACCAGCTACATTTACAAGGATATCTATTCAGGGCTGTTGAGTTCATTCTGATTCTGAGCTGGCTCGTTCATGTTTGTTTTACTGGCATCAATTCCCTCCAACATGAGGCGGGGCAAGTTAAGCCACAATAATGTTTTGGGGAAGTCATTGCCCTTTGTGATAGATGCATTTTTTTCATTTTGATTGACAGTAGACATCCTGAAGTAAAGGTTGTTGTTGTTCATCAGAGCTCAATCAGAAGCTCATCACTGCCTGGGCAATATAAAGCCCAGACAGGAAGGGTCCGGAAAGAATATTCCTGTCTTTCACTTCTTCACCTCTCCAACAATCCCTCACTCTCTTTATCGACCTGACTCACAAGCAACCCCCTCTCAATATCAGCATTGCGTGATACTTGTTTGTCTCGATACACTCCCTTTATCACTGTCTATCTTTCTTTAACCCCTCTGTCGATCTCTATGCTCTCTTATCCCTTTGTTGAAGTAAGTGGCAGATTCCCACATGTCAGGCACAATGACTGATTATAGTAGAGGACATAGGTGGCTGTTCATCATATCAGCATCCCTTATTTTCAGTACACTCAGCAGCACTGAACTTCACTTCCTCCCTTTATATTCTTCTTTACATTGGTTTTGCATTCTTGTGCTTTTTGTTAACATTTTGAAAATATAAAGAGAATGTCTTCCACCTTGCTCACCCTTAATATCTTGTGTTTTAACACCATAAATCACTGTTGAATAAAAACCAGAACACAAATATTGTATTCTATACTATTTGGGAATCTGTCAAGCCAGTTTCTGGATCTGGTCTGAAGCCCCTTCTCTCTCCTGTGAAGACCCTCTTTCCTCTGCTGTTCCTCTGTACCTCCTGTTTCACTTCCTTCCTCTTTATGTCTCTACGCAGGGTTGACCTGTCAACATGTCTGTCTTTTGCCACTGCTCTGATGGATTCTCCAGCCTCTCCATCAGTGGCTCTCTCCATCTCCTCAGTCTTTCTCTTGGACTTTCTTAGCATGATGGCTTTTCTTCAATGTTTAAAACATAAAAATCAGTTGTGTAAAACTACATCGACATACATGTTATACTACAAAGACTTAACTTAACTTCAGTGCCTCATGGGGGGTTGAGTTGAACCACTGGCTCACTTTACCCCACAGCCCCTTTTTGGAAAGAACTTTCTATCGTAGTCCTTCATGCTAATCTTTAGCTAAATGATTCACGCGGTTTTACTCCTTGCTAAATAACCAACATGTATGAAACATATTTTCAGACCTGGATTTGCTTTGACAGAACAGTAAATACCTGACGTGTTGAACATTTACTTTGACAAGCCAAACATGGTTTATTGTGAAAGAAACACATTTACCACTTTACCATGTGCTTCTCTCCATCACAGCCAAATAATAGTGATGGGTGCCTCCTGGATTTATGCTCACATGAAAACAAATGTGCACAGTTACCTAGATAAGGAGGGGGAGGGGTCCACTTACCCACTGGCTCATCTCCCCTATAGTAAATATATCTAATATTTTGGATAAAGTTTACAACTAAATTAGTGTGAGTCATAACTTTGAAACGTTGCCTCTACCGTTGCATCACTTTTCCTTTGAGTCAGTGAGCGGACATCAGGACGGCATCACGTTGTGGTCAGAATTATGAATGATGTTAAAATTCTCAATTTACTTCCGCAGCGCCATAGGTAGTGTGGTAAGGAATGAACCAATGGAAACAAGAAGCAACTGAAATGTGATTCAAATATGAAGAAAAATTCAAATGTACTATTTTGGTATTTAGAAAATGATTAAATGATAGTGAGATAAATGAGAAAAATGCATTCAGATATGCAGACTGAACTGCTGTTACTGAGGCTCCTCTCCTGATGATCTGCAACCGAGGGGACGGCTGATGATCTCCTCGCTCCTCTGGATGGCTTTGGCATGTTTCTGCTCTTCTTTCAACATAGTGCAACAAGAGAAACCAGGTAGTAGTGTTTTTAGTAAACGATATCCTGAAATGTGTTTTAGGGTTTGTTTTCAAGGCTCTTACCTATCGTTAAAACACCGTTGAGCTTCAAACGATCGAAGAGGAGTCAACATGAGATTATACACACTGACAGGAAACTGGTTGATTAGACAGTTTGGTTGTTATCATGGGGAAAAATAATGATTGCATATCAGAGCCAATTTTGAAGCAGATAAGAAATGCTCCAAGATTTTGCTTTTCCGTCTGACTCCAAGCTAATGCCATTAGCTTGTCAAAAAAATGTATATAAAAAATACTATCACTACAAGAGAGTTGAGAGTGGGCACAGCTTAATAAATTACTAATAGCAGTTACAGTTACCAACAAGTAGGATCAAAAAAGAACGCTGAAAAGTTAAAAATAGTACAAATCTGAAATACAAGTCAACCTGTCATGCTAGCTAGCGACGAAACTAAGCCGGACACAAATATTCCTCACACCCCTTTCATGTTTGTCTTCAGTCTTTTTGACCCTAGTTGTCTTTCCATGCATTTCCTTTTTCTTTTAGCCAAACCTTGCCAATCTCTTGTCCTTGCCTGCCAGTGTCATCTTAAGTTTCCATTCTCCTGATTCTGCTTTGATACTGCACCAAATCATATTTAATTAGGTATGCAAGCACCTGTGTTTTCAAAGCCCCCCTGTCTACGTTTTCTCTGTTTTTTCAAAGCAGCAGTCTTACTGTATCAATATTGTTTCTAGATGATGGCAGGACAGCTGCGGATGCAAGGTGTCTAATTTTTTTTGCAACACTAATCTAATGCTAATGTAATGCTAATATGGCAGCAGGAGTGTGCCTGGAGGAAGTGAGGAGATGTGATGCTGTCATGGGTAAAAATAAAAGTGGCAGTTTGGATTTATGTTACTCATGCTTTTACTACGGTATTATTACATTAATATCCTTTACACGATCCAGAGTTTGTTCAGAATCTGCTTTGAACTTTATTTTAGATATAGTTCTCATTGTGATTGTTAGGGAAATAATTGTCCTAGACTCCTAAATAAGACGTACAGGACCAACCCTGACGTCTGTTTATCTCCTTTAAGGACATAGGCTGCTTCAGCCATAATGTTATTGTTCCCATTCTGTGACCGGTCAACACTAGGTCACAGATGGTCTTTGTTGTGGGTGCATTGGGACACTTCCTTCTTAATTGTTTGTGGACTCGAGGGTATGACATATTCGAGGCCATAGGTGGCGGAAGCAGGTGACTCAGTGTGCCCAACTGTCTAAAGCTATCTTATCAAAATATGTTGATTACTCTCTGTGAAACCAGTTAAATGGGCTAGCAAGAGAGAGGCGCTCCAGAATTGACGTGACAACCCACCCGTGCAGTCTCACCGTGACTGCTGTGAATTGTGATGTGAATGCTCCGGCCGAAACTCCAATAAATCATCAGTGTTTTGACATCAAAGCTCCTGCTCTACCTTGTCTCCTTCCTGAGTCGGTGACTCCCATGCAATTGCTACACAGAAGTTTCCTCTACAGTGATCAGCACAATACTGTACATACTTTCAATTGATGTGCTTTTTTAACTCTGAAAGAAATGTGACAAACTAAATAGTTTAAGTGTCTGCTGCATGAATATATTAACAGCATTCCTTTATTTGCATTGCCTTTGATAGCAGCAGCCAGTGCACCCTATGATGTTTTAAGGGAGGGAGACATTTGGCTCCCAAATTGGCAAATTATTCACTGACTAAAATTTGGCATACACATGTGCTAATTATAAGTGCTTATAGCAATAATACTATCACATAATTAGCATAATGTCTCGCTACTATCACTCCAGGGTTGCACAAGCTTGTTCAAAATGACAGTAATTAAACTTCACTGGATGTTATCATCATGAAGGATATAAATATGTAAAGTTATAGAAAAATAATTTATTTTTGCTGTTAATAACTGTGTTTGTGTTGGTTTATATTTGCAAAGCAGGAACAGAGTAATGATTACATGTCACTTGTTAGATGCTTTCATCCAAAGCGACTTACTTACATTCAATAGGGCCACAGTAGTCATGTGACTCACAGTGCAGGACTCGTATACTGTACGTCCGTAGTTAGGTTGAGAATAATAGCAAAAGAATATAATTGCATTTACTTTTTTGAAGAGAAAAAAGTAGCTTGATTACAGTGAGCAACCAGATTATTTTATATTTCCAATTAAATACCACGATAAATCTGTAAACCTTTTGGGTAATTTAAAAGGTAATTATGGGATTGAGACATATTTGCGTTTTGTTTAAATTGTACCCACTTCCCTCTTTGTTCCTGCAATGAAAGTAGACAGAAGTTTCCTTCATTTCATTTAATAATCATCAAAGCCACTGATGAAAACCCTACTTAGTCAGCCTAAAGAAAAAAAGTAGAAAATGTGACCCTACTTTAAGGTCAATGACTAAACATATTGAGTAGTATTTTATATACTGTAGGAAATCAATTAAATCCTTTTATATCTGTCAAATTCTCAGCTGATGTTTTCATTGTAAAGACTAATGACCATGTTCACTCTGTAATGACATGGTAACATGATGTAAATTAAGTGGTAGTGTTAATACATCCATAACATTCATCTGGCTGCAACTTACAAATTATTTATCTAATATATCATATTCCAATCACTTGTATATAGACTAATTGCACTATTTTCTTTTTTGTATTTACTTTTTTGAATACTTTTTTTTTCTTTTTCTGATTGTCTGTTTTATGGTGTTGCACTGTTGGAGGAGCCTGTGACCTAAGATTTTCATTGTCATAACTACACTAGCTATGTACGTATGACTAATAAAAGCCTTGAACCGTGAGGGTGGTGCGAGAATCAGAGAAGACATCTGCCCTGTAACTGTCTCATAATACGTTTTGATTTATTATATGTTACAAAGTTAGCATGCAGTGGCGGCTGGCCAATAGGGGACGATAGGGCGCCGCCCTCCCTAAACCACACACAAAAACATTATTATTAATAATAATAATAATAATATAAATAATGAATTATATATATTTTCAATATTTGTGTGTTTAAAATATAGAATGCACCCAGAAATATGTGTAAAACATGATTTAAAAATAATTTGGGCAATATACGCTTTTCCTATACACTGTATGACTGAAGTTCTGTGCTGGGGCGATGGAGAAATCTCCCCACGAAGGCGGGTCTCTGTAGCAGGTTAGCCAATTGCTGATTCAAGATATGAAAATATGTCATAAACTGTAGCCAATCAGTGTCCTCAAAACTACTACGAGGGGGGCGATTATTTTATCGCACCAAGTAAGCAACTGCTACGCAGCTGGACGACGGCCACAAGCTTGCGGTGAGGAAACACAATGAGAAGTGGATAAAAACAGGCATATTTTATCCAAAATAATGACGTTTTGTGGGGCTTTTGAGTTGGCTTTGTGTGGGCATGACGAGACTGACTCTTCAGTCAACCTTGGCATTTTCAGGGGATTGGTGGATTTTGCTTCCTCCCTGCACTCTGTGCTGGAGGAGCACCTAAAGACCACCACCGTTTTTTTAAGATTTTAAGAATAAGAATAATTATTATTAGTTTGTTACATCTTCAAATTCTTGTATTATTGTTAATTATACCGTTGTTCTGTAATCTATATATTAGGGCTGTCAGTCGATTAAAATATTGAATCACGATTAATCGCATGATTGTCCATAGTTTTTTTTATCTGTTCTAAATGTTCCTTAGAGGAATATTTTTCAAGTTTTTAATACTCTTATCAACTTAGGAGTGGACAAATGTGACCCGCTCTATCGAAATCAGTCAGAAGTAGCAACGGCTCATTTCAAAATAAACGTGGATTTGCGTTAAAAACTAGTTTTTCGGGGTTCGGGTGTTTTGTTTGATTTTAAATAAACAAAGTCTTGGCTTTCAGAATATGAAACTTTTATTTCCAAAATCACACAATAAATACATGTTTAAAGCTTGTAAAGGGAAGATGACGGCTTTCACTCCACTCTGCTCTTCCGCAGCGCCGCCCCCC